ACTCCCATTCTTAAAGATCGACTTACGACAGTTGTAGCACAAAGATCACTTCGTGCAAGTGGGGCCAGGTCAGTCTCACAAACGCTCACGAGACCTTATCGTGTCTCGCAAACTCTCATGAGATCATTGCACAAAACAATCTTGGCGCTATGACGATCGTAACTCCCATTCTTAAAGATCGACTTACGACAGTTGTAGCACAAAGATCACTTCGTGCAAGTGGGGCTAGGTCAGTCTCACAAACACTCACGAGACCTTATCGTGTCTCACAAACTCTCATGAGATCATTGCACAAAAACAATCTTAGCTCTATGATGATCGTAACTCCCATTCTTAAAGATCGACTTACGACTTGGCTGATACATGTCATCGTATCCCAATTGTGTAAATCGATGCTCATGATGTCAATCACTGGATTATCTGGTCAAGGCTTGATTAGTTTCAGACCACTGTCTCATAGGTGAAAAATTGCTGAGTATGAAATTAAACAACAAACAGACTCTAAACAGTCCCAACTGGACCCAGCTGGAAAGTACTACAATTCTCCATCATCTGTCCTACATCGTAAGTCAAGAACGAGCCAATGTAATTTCCCCCTGTGAGAGCAGGGCCCCTCCAGTTTGCCTGTATTCACAACCATAGCTACACTTACACCGAGAGGTGACAAGCAAACAACTTCTTCACACATGGGGCTGCCTCTACCCTGGCGTTAACTAAACTGACATCCCCCGATTCAGCCATTTAACCATCCTCAAACACAAAACCATTAATAAACTTAAGAAGGGGCATATAAGGGACACCATTTTTTCAAGGTGTTTCCTTTGAGGCTTGACATAAGTGGCTTAACCTCAAAGCCACATAATCCCGAAATTTAGCAAGACAAACGATTAGAAATACCTCACGAGATACAGATATCATCGTACACGTTCACATTTCTCTACAATCCCAGCAGGGACCTCTAAAGCTACCTAGCAAAGCTTATCAATAAAGGTATTATTACCCGATTCTGGCATAAGCCTCGACACAACAAACAAACAAATGGGAACGCTTAGCTCTACACCATACTCACTGTATAATCATCCCTCTTTTCTACAGTAAACTTGTCAAGCACATGCAAATTTTCTTTTTTGAAGGTAAGGTCTAGTTACTGGTTGATGTCCCTCATCCTGAGGTCAGATCACATACATCTATAATATTTGCCGTACCTGAAATCGGAGCATTGTCACGGGCTTAGCAACTTAGAAGTTGAAGACGAGTTAGTAATTTGAATGTTGTCCTTAAGCACAAGGACAACCTGGTAATTTAAAAGTTGTCTTCCAGTAGAAAAACTAATGTTAATTTTGAAAGCTGTCCCTGAATGGAAAAAGGACAGGGTAATTTTAAAAGTTACGATCCAGGTAGGAACAGGACGGGGTAATTTTGAAAGTTACGATCCAGGTAGGAAAAGGATGGGGTAATTTTAAAAGTTACGATCCAGGTAGGAAAAGGATGGGGTAATTTTGAAAGTTATGCTCCAGGTAGGAAAAGGACAGGGTAATTTTAAAAGTTACGATCCATGTAGGAAAAGGACGGGATAATTTTGAAAGTTATGCTCCAGGTAGGAAAAGGATGGGGTAATTTTAAAAGTTACACTCCAGGTAGGAAAAGGACAGGGTAATTTTAAAAGTTACGCTCCAGGTAGGAAAAGGACGGGGTAATTTTGAAAGTTATGCTCCAGGTAGGAAAAGGATGGGGTAATTTTGAAAGTTACGCTTCAGGTAGGAAGGAAAGGACGGGGTAATTTTAAAAGTTACGCTCCAGGCAGGAAAAGGACGGGGTAAGTTTGAAAGTTGTCCTCATGCAGAAAGAGAACCTGGTAATATAAAAGATGTCCTGCAGTACAAAAACTACGGTGTCATTTTGAAAGCTGTTCTTGAATGGAAAAAGGACATGGTAACTTTAAAAGTTATTCAAGCAGAAAGAGAACCTGGTAATTTAAATGTCCTCAAGCAGAAAAAGTTTGTTTGAAAGTAATCCTGAGGTTTAAAGAGGAGCTACTAATTTCAATGTTCTCCCTGTATTGAAAAAGGACTGGGTAATTCTAAAAGTTATGCTCTTGTAGAAAAAGTTTTGGGTAATTTTGAAAGTTGTCCTCAAGTAGAAAGAGGACAGGGTAATTTTGAAAGTTGTCCTCAAGCAGAAAGAAATGCAATTTGAAAATGGAATGAGAACTTATAACTTGAAAATTGTTAAGGCACTTGGTAATTTTAAGCAGACCGATGATGTGATAATTTGACAGGCTGTACAGGTATCACATAAGAACAGTTAAATAATGGTCCTGTTTTTCCTGACGTCTCAACTGTCATATGACAAAACTGATGAAGCAACAGTGACAGCATATGTCAGACATTTAACTGCACACAGGATGACGACCATTTATATCAACTCTGTATGACTCATAACTCATCACAATGGATCTTGGCAATTTCAAGACGATCAACTGTCAACCCATGGAAATATACACTTATGTTTCAAGGTGGTTCACAATGAAACAGGGCCGGAGGGATAGCCTAGTAGTTAAAGCATTTGCTTGTCACAACGAAGAACTGGGTTCGATTCCTCACATGGGCACAAAAGTAAACTAACTCAAAATGAAACATACTAGAAGTATTCTCACCTGGTGATATAATTGTTACAGGAATTGTAGTTTTGTTTTGGAACTTAAGTATGTGGGGTTTTAATTTTTTGTATGTTTCGATAATGTTTGTTATGAATTTTATCAAATCTGATTTTCATATGTATGCCTTCTTTTGCCCAATTCATACATCATTTGTATACATATACGCTCTCTTGTAGTTCTAAATATTTACTGTTCTGTATGCAAATTACCTGCAGTTTACCTGCAATCATGTTAAATTTGACATTGTGTGGAAAGAATCAGCAGAGAGTCGTTCAAAAATATGACAGCTTGGTGAGCACCATAAAAAAACACTCACAAATGGCGAGGGTTATGACAAAACTACATTATGATAGTGAGTGAGTGAGTGAGTGAGTGAGTGAGTGAGTGAGTGAGTGAGTGAGTTTTGAGTGACACAGCTTTTAGCAATATTCCAGCAATATTACAGCAGGGGACACCAGAAATTGGCTTCACACATTGTACCCATGTGGGGAATCGAACCTGGGTCTTTGGTGAGATGAGCGACCACTTTAACCACTAGGCTACCCCACAGCCCCTACATTATAATAAAATACAAAGTGCTCTTGCATTTTGTCTTTTCAGGGAGGGTCTGGAAATGAAAACTTGGGGAGAGTCATCCAACATAAGATAAGCATTACAGAAGGGTCACTATTGGTACTAAATTAGACCATAATAAATATCTGATCCCCCCCTCCAACTCCACCCTCCCTGTAAAAAGACTGGTTCCATAATAGTCCTTAATTTGACATGATGGATGTTGTTTCACCTTAACTTTCTGGACATAAAAATGTGCACACCAAAATTACTCCACCTAAAAAACAAATCTTTCAACTTTTTCAGAAAAGCTCATCAATTTGAAACCCAACTTGGCTCTATTGATGACAGAACTTCTCCGTATGAGGCAAACCCCGGTAAACATGTCATTTACCACAAAACAAGCCTTCAGAGACGAGAGGTCTGCATTCGAAAGTCGTGATTTACATGCAAAGAAATCGAGATTATAATTCCCTTGTCTTCTTTCTTATTGTTCTTTCTGTCTACTCACAATGATAGATACTTCACATCACCTTTGATGAAGCAATACCATGATTCTTCATTACCGCGCTCTGACGCTGGGATGGACAGTTTCTAAGACAAATCGGACCCGTGACGGGACAATTGTTTCAAATATTTCAGTACTCGGAGCCTCTGGTATTGGATTAAAATTCATGAGTAAACGCAATCACATCAATTCTTCAGTACCATGCCTACATAATAAACGAGACAGCTATTGTGGGGCCTCCCCTGTGTTAGTTTTGAGACGTGGTAACAAATCGTTTTGATAATAACACTTATTATATTTCATCGAATAGATAGAAGTAAATTGATGAGAATCAAATTGATCGCTGTGTTGGAGACATGTATGTATCTGGATGAGGTAGCTTCACGCCAAGAGAAATTTCTGTACATGATAAATTATATCTGGGTCTGGGCGAAATGAAGAAGAGCAAGAGCAGATTAGTGGGTGGGATGGAGTCAATGCAGGGTTGTGGCTACATGTATTTACTTATTTATTTATATTTCGAGACATATTTTAAATAACTACAGATAACAAAAGTTCAAACTGACCTTGTATATTTACTGGTGTGCAGGTGTAAAAGGAGTGTTTTCATCAGATCAGGACATAAAAGTCCACAGCGATAGGGAAAATCAATTAGGAAAGCTTTTTATTATTTCATGTTGGAGTTAAAATTCGAAGTAAGTGGGATATGGGAAAAACAGAAAAACTATTATCAGACTCATATACTGACTGACTGACTGAGTTTGGTTTTACGCCGCTTTTAGCAATATTCCAGCAACATCACGGTGGGGAACACCAGAAATGGGCTTCACACATTGTATCAATGTGGGGATTCGAACCAGGGTCTTTGGCGTGACGAGTCAACGCTTTAACCACTAGGCTACCCCACCGCCCCTCAGCCTCATATAAACAACAAAAAGTACATGGTACTATACTCATGGAAACAAATAAGGGAACACGTGAAAGGACAAGTGTTCCTTTATATATTTTTCAGATTTCAACCCACAGTGCAATATAAAGCATGGCAAGAAACACTTTCACTTTCGTGTGTTCCTTTATTTTTTCTATGAGCATATATGGGTCAGTGTTGTAGTCTAATGGTTAAAGCGTTCGCTCATCACGCTGAAGACCTAGTTTTGATGTGCAGATGGGCACAAAGTGTGAAGCCCATTTCTAGTATCCACTGTATATTGCTGGAATATGGCTAAAAACAGCGTTAAACCATCCTCACTCACAGTACTATATAAAACAAAAGCAACTCACCCATTGGCTGGATCTAATGCAATTGCCCGCGGCTGGTCCAATCCTTCCCAGAATAAAACCTTTCTATATGTCCCATCCAAATTACTGACTTCTATCCGATTGGTTTCCGAGTCTGTCCAGTAGAGTTTCATTCCCAGCCAATCACAAGCCAGCCCGTCTGGCGACACTAAACCTGTTGCTATCACATTAATACTGTTCTGAGGATCATTCAGGTTAGTCCTTTTAATGACTTCAAGGCTGACATCCGTCCAGAATATAGCTCCTTCACTGAAAATGAAATCTACAGCCGATGCATCTTCCAAGTTTGCAACGACCACGGTCGAGTTCCCCTTTGCATTTTCGGAGTCGATAATCCTCACATCCTTTCTGTTAGCGAATAACAGTTGTGGGGATCCTGGAACAAAATGAAAAACATTAAATCATGAACCAAAACCCTGATACTACAAATTCTCTAGCTATGATAAACAACAGATGTACACTTGCATCTCTCACAAGTCATTACCTAATAATCAGTTATTAATATTTTCAGCTCGACTGAAAACATACAGAAACGTGCACGATCAGCTAGCGGCAACACATTCTTACATCCTGACACCTTAATTGCATTCTTGCCATGAAAAGCTGCAAAACTGCTGATACAGCATTAAACAATATTCCCTCAACCATCCTGTCATCAGTTACAGGACCGTTACATGTCCCAAGCTGTTCGAGATTTTTCCCTATATTCAGTTCCATGTAAGATATAAAAAGCATCGCTAAAATGTATTGATAATAGTGATATTTATTGCCTCATGACTGTCTTATAATGTTCTTAGATATTGGGAAAATTTAATGTCATTTTAAAGAGTTGCCTTGAGGAAAGCTTCCTCCATGTTGCATCTAATTGCACCATTGGCCAATCATGCTGCTGTCCTACAATTGTCATGCTAGCTGGTCTGGGCACAGAGTGCTATTCCTGCAACAGAACTGGAGGCAGTAACGTACCACTAATTTTAAACAATCTACATTTCTTGGAACTACACCCACGTAGAGATTCACAGGAGAACATGACACACAAAATCAGAAGTAGTTGTGGGGAAGACATCAGCATCATAATCTTTATCAGTCCAGCAACATGTGCTTCATCTGTCCAATATTACAGAACCTTCAGTATTGATTATTCCAATATTACAGAACCTTTAGTATCTATCAGTCCAGTATTACAGAACCTTCAGTATCTATCAGTCCAGGACCACAGAACCTTCAGTATTCATCAGTCCAGGACCACAGAACCTTCAGTATTCATCAGTCCAGGATTACAGAATTTTCAGTATCTATCAGTCCAGGATTACAGAACCTTCAGTTGAGGATTACAGAACCTTTAGTATCTATCAGTCCAGGATTACAAAACCTTCAGTATTGATCAGTTGAGGATTACAAAACCTTCAGTATTGATCAGTTGAGGATTACAAAACCTTCAGTATCTATCAGTCCAAGACCACAGAACCTTCAGTATTGATCAGTCCAATATTACAGAACCTTCAGTATTCATCAGTCCAGGGTTACGGAACCTTCAGTATTGATCAGTTGAGGATTACAAAACCTTCAGGATTAATCAGTCCAAGGATATAACTGACAGTATTCCACAGTCCAGTCTCTATCGGTCTCATAGCACAGTCTACAGCATTCCCCAGTCCACCATTATATAGTCTACAGTATTCTACAGTATTCTTCAAGACACCAGTAGTACAGAATATATCCACTATTTGTCAGTCCACACAAGTCCTCCTTCCAACAAACCCTCCAGTGCAATGGTTGGTGAACGTGTGTGTACATATTTATAAGCAAGTGTCATGTCCAAGTATGTCACCATCGGCAAATAAATCCTACATGGCAGACAGATCAAGGTACGTGATGGGACCAAAACAGCAATCTGAAGTGATGGACGTCCGTGGATTCAGATATTCACAGACCTAACGGTACCTGGACGAGAATCGGCCTCATCACAACCAGCCCACTAATTGGTAATTAACGAGACATCTTTGATTTGATTGACAGGTCCAGGAACCTGACACAGACATCAACTGACTATGGCTTCACATATATAATGAATAGTCACATGAAAGAGAGATTAATTGCAATTGCTGAAGCTAATTGTGTGATCAGTGAATGGATGTCTAGACCTGTCAGTGGAGTGACCACCAATGGCCTAAATGGACAAGGTAATAAAGATGCTTTCTTCTTTAATGGAAGGCAAAATGACCTCACATCAACATCCATGTGGAGCTAATGATGATTTTGAATTCGGTAAAGGGAGGTAAATGATGATTGATGTCAGCCAATTAGGAACAGCCGAGCTTGATCACTGGCTACCTGTAACTGGACTAGGCTTGGAGTGGAGAATTCCCTTCAAACTACAAGTGTCAAAACTGGTGCTAGTGGCTATGGGCTCCTAAAACAACCCAGGCTTTCAAAAGACAGTTGGATAAACTTGGACCACAAAGACTGCTTGTCAAAACAAATGTCTTGCTTTGCTATGAAATACACATTTCACAGTAAGTGAGTGAGTATGGTTTTACGCCACTTTTAGCAATATTCCAGCAATATCACGGCGAGGAACACCAGAAATGGGCTTTACACATTGCACCCAAGTGAGGAATAGAACCCAGATCTTCAGCATCACAAGCAGACACTTTAACCACGAGGCTACCCCACCTCCCCTGTTTCCTTCAAGATGACAGGGCGGTGGGGTGCCTAGTGGTTAAAGCGTTGGCTCGTCACGCCAAAGACCCGGGTTCGAATCCCGACATGGGTACATTGTGTGAAGCCCATTTCTGGTGTCCCCCGCCGTGATGTTGCTGGAATATTGCTAAAAGCGGCGTTAAACCAAACTCAGTCAGTCAGTCAAGATGACAGTAAATGCCTGAATGTGTTCAGCCAAATTAAAACGGCATACTTTATACCAATGTATGGATTTAATGCCTTTTATTAAAGTATACTTTATCATAACCCCACAGTCTGGTCATGCCAGACAAACTATATGCATATGAAAAAACCCACCTGATCTTTTTAAGTAACTTAATCGTATTTAATCAACTCTTGGCCAGACAAACTAGTGGTTGATAGAATGACTAACACTCTGTGTTGCTAAGAAACCACTGACAACATATCATTATTAGTCAGTCCCCATCTTATTGGTTTCTATAACAACACATTGTATATAGATACATATTCACGCACACTTCATACACTTTAAAGAAATCTTACAGGCAACTGTGGACTTTTACATGTACTTTACAAAATAACATACCAATCTAAATAGCATTCAAAAACATTTTATAATATTGTGAAAAACATTTATTGCTAATGGTGCAAAAGATTACATCCACCATTATATGACTTTTCTTTTCTGAGCAATGTGTCAATACATAAAACAAAAATCAATTTTGATAAATCTGTAACAAAATGCTTTAATGCTTTAATGACTTTATAAGTGTTGACCTATGAAGTACAGAGGAAGTAAACTGATATAACGATATTAAACTTCTTGTACTTGTTTAGAGTTTAGAACTCTTGTCCTCAAAACTGTGGCTCATCTCATTTTGGGTATTGAGATACTAGATGTTGAATATATTGGACATCAGCGACAAAACCATCTCCGGAGACAACTGAGCACACCAAGTCTGGTGAAGGCTGCCATCTGACCCCCAGGCGATATATACATGTAACCCATGGTCAGCGGATCAGCCAGACAGGTCAATGAGTAAGTAGTTTATACACTAGTCAATGAATAAATACTGGTATAGCCTGGGGCAGCCTTGCAGTTGTTGACGAGGATGTGTAGACCATTGATGTAACGCTCAAATGAAACTGAGGCCTACTCTGATGCAGACAGGCCGCAGCTGATGGAACTAAAGTAGAAAATGAAACATTGTTCCGACTCACAGCATCCCACACTCGCAGACCATTGCATACCCCAAAGACACTGCTACATCATCAAGAGTAGTAGCTATGAAGATACTATGAATAGGCAGAAAAGTGAACTGTTACAGTAAATATGTTTTCTTTTTTACCCTTCATCATCCGAACGTCATATAACAAAAATGTGTATCCCATGTGCAAAGATCTTACTTTATTACGACTAACGGGATCAGGTGGTCAGGCTCACTGACTTGGTTGACACATGTAATCGATTCCCAATTGTGCAGATCGATGCTCATGCTGTTGATCACTGGATTGTCTGGTCCAGACTCGACAATTTACAGACCGCCGCCATATAGCTGGAATAATTCTGAGTGTGGCGACAAACTAAACTCACTCACTCACTCTTATGTTATTAAACCAAATTCCAACAATTTTTTCAGGAATAAACAGAAAATTGCAACTGTTTGCTTCTTGTCTACAAGGCTGTGTGGTAGTTGTTGAATGATATTTACATTGAGACAAAAAAAAAATCACATATGTTCTTCACCACAATGATGCCAGAAACCATGCTTGAATCGTCTGTCTACATAGCAGGGTAAACCGTCTAGCAGCATAGACAACACTTGGTGGGATAGTAGGTATCTGGGATCTAATGTTGTCTCGCCTGGGTAGTCCAGGGCAGAGCTGGTCTGTAGTACCCAATGCTTGTCTCCCTGTAGGGACTCTGGGCCAGAATAGGTCTGCACCATTTGATGCTTGTCTCAATGTAGGGATTGCAAGGTAGAATAGGTCTCTAGTATCCAATGTTTGTCTTCCCCTGGGTATTCCGGACAGAATAGGTTTCCAATACCCAATGCTTGTCTCACTGTGGGAATTTTAGGGCAGAACTGATCTCCAGTACCAAAATGCTGGTCTCCCTGTAAAGATTCCAGAGGAGAATAGTCTCCAGTACCTAATGTTTATCTTCTAACGGATCTAGTCGCCATCTGCATTAAGTCTAGCTGTCGCATTCCTATCTGACTCAACAGTACCCATCTATGTCACATCTATAAAAATAATCCACAAGAGCCCCCTCCCAGTCTAGCTGTCACATTCCTATCTGTCCCAACAGTACCCATCTATGTCACATCTATAAAAATAATCTACAAGAGCCCCCTCCCAGTCTAGCTGTCATATTCCTGTCTGACGTAACAGTACCCATCTATGTCACATCTATAAAAATAATCTACAAGAGCCCCCTCCCAGTCTAGCTGTCACATTCCTATCTGACTCAACAGTACCCATCTATGTCACATCTATAAAAATAATCTACAAGAGCCCCTCCCAGTCTAGCTGTCACATTCCTATCTGACACAACAGTACCCATCTATGTCACATCTATAAAAATAATCTACAAGAGCCCCCTCCCAGTCTAGCTGTCACATTCCTATCTGACTCAACAGTACCCATCTATGTCACATCTATAAAAATAATCTACAAGAGCCCCCTCCC